CACGCGCCGCCTCGTCAAGCGGCCTGACCAGTACAGGCCGTAGTGTGGCATCGTTTGGTACCTCTTGGAAGCGAGGGTGGTCAAAAGCGAGGTAGGTTTGTTTTTCCTCCTACAGTCAGCGTGTGCCCGATCTTTGCATCTGCTGCAATAGCGAGGGCCCCGCGAAAGTGAGCGCGCGCACGCGTGCACGCACCCAGTGGTCGAAGCGCGGAGAAGCACATTCCTGTTTGCGCGCGTTGGCGAGTTGCCACATCAGTGCGCATGAACATCGACGTCCGAATGTGTGAGTTGGCACACAACCACGCTCATTTAATTACGCGTGTGCAGGTACACATATACGCCCACATGCAGACACGGGCACGCATATTCGTACAGGCACCAATCCACACAGCTCGGCGACGGCATCTCCCAGCCATCCCTGCGGTGTTGGGCCCTCGTTCTGAAGAGGCAGCGCCCCGCGTTCCCCTCCCGCCTTCTCCTCCTCCCATCCCCGGCCTCTGTTCTCCGACCGTCTGTCTCGGCACACCGCTCGCACGTCTCGCGGCTCCATAGGGCGCTCCACCGAGGTCCCCGATGGCTGCGCTCGCATGCCGCCAGCGCGCCCGATTCGGGACGCCCCTCGCACCTGGCGTGGCCACCGAAGGCCCAGATGCCAGCGCTCGCATGCGCCCACCGCGCCCATTTTGGCATACCCCTCACACGTTTCATGGCCCCGTAGGGAGCTCCACCGAAGGCCCGAATGCCAGCGCTAGCAGGCGCCCTCCGCACCGGCTTTGGCACACCTCTCACACGTTTCGTGGCCCCGTGGGGAGCTCCACCGAAGGAGGTTCATACAACGACGGTGCCCACAACTGCATCTGGTTGGCTCCTTCGCCAGGCTAATTTCTTTTCGATCATTCTTCCCACCGTCTCGACAGTTCTCCTTTGCCGGTCGACACGCGCCAAGAGTTTAAATTCTTTACGCTTCGCGTATCCCCACCAGCCCATCTCAAAACAGCAACTCTTGCGAAGCATGCCGACAGTCGTGTTTTTCAGGCGTGTTTCCGCCTGCCCCCGCATATCTCCCCTGTTCCTCCTTCCTCCCGCCTCCTTGTACATCCTCCTTGTGGTGGGAGCGGGAGAAGGACGAGGCGGAGGAGGAGGGAGAGAAAGCGCTCCTCGTGGTTTGAGTCGTTTGGGGTTTCTTGTCCTGGTGTGAGTCGTTCGGGCCCTTCTTCCTGGTGTGAATCGTTCGGGCTCTTCGTGATGTGAGTCGTTCGGGCTCTTCGTCCTGGTGTGAGTCGTTCGGGCTTCTCGTGGTGTGAGTTGTTCGGGCCCCTCGTCGTCGTGTGAGTCGTTCGGGCCCCTCCTCCTGGTGTGACTCGTTCGGGCTCCTCGTGGTGTGAGTCGTTCGGGGCCCTCGTCGTGGTGTGAGTCGTTTTGGGAGCCTCTTGGAGGCCTTTTGGGGCGTCTTCGGGGCCTCTTGGCGGCCCCAGGGGCTTCTAGGAGCGTCTTGGGTGCCTTGGGGGAGCCTCTTCGGGCCTCTTGGGAGCCTCTTGGAGGCCGTTTGGGGCGTCTTGGGGGCCTCTTGGCGGCTCCAGGGGCTTCCAGGAGCGTCTTGGGTGCCTCGGGGGAGCCTCTTGGGGCCTCTTGGGGGCCTCTTGGGGGCATCTTGGGGGCCTCTTGGAGGCCTCTTGGGGCCTCTTGGGACTCTTTGGGAGGGGTCTGGGAGGAATCTTGGGGCCATCTGTCGGGCGATCGATCACAGATGGGGCGAGCACTTTTCTCCCCCCCCCGTCGGGGCCAGAATCCTCGTGAGGGGTGTCGAATTTTAGCCATCCCAGGAGTCGAAAAAGACCCCTCCAACGACCCGCGAGACGCCCTCTCCAGGCCCAGGGGGAGGGGGTAGGGGGAGGGGTAAACCCCTCCCCGAAGGGGAAGAAGGGGGTTGAGAACAGAGCGGGCTCTCTAAACCACTCACGCCCAAAGGGCTGGTGGGATTGGTACCAGATAGCGTTCTAGCTCCTCAGAATCTTCAAACTTGTTAGAACTCCTTGTGTGTAGAACCGTGTCCAGTCATTGCCGGCTAGTTCCGATATATCTGTATATCGGAGGTTGGGGGGTGAGATCGCAGTGAAACGGAGACCCCCCACCGGGAAATCGGTTTCGGTTTCGTGTTCGTGTCGTGCGTGCGGGCGAGGCGAAGCTGCGCGTGATCCTCCTGTAGCTAGGCCGAAGTAGGAGCGAAAGTCCGTGCGCTCGTCCGCCGGTGGCCGGTTGGGCGGTGTCCCGGGTGTCCAGTGCGTTTTCCCATCCGCCGGTGGCCGGTTGGGCCGGGCGGTGTCCTGGGTGTCCCGTGGTGTCCCGTGGTGGCCCGTGGTGTCCCGTGGTGTCCCGTTGAGTGAGATCGATAGTGAGATCGATGGTGGGATCGACGAGTGTCCCGTGGTGTCCCGTGGTGTCCCGTTGAGTGAGATCGATAGTGATATCGATGGTGAGATCGATGTGGTGTCCCGAGGTGTCCTGTGATGTTCTACGCTGTCCCGTTGAGTGAGATCGATAGTGAGATCGATAGTGAGACCGATAGTGAGATCGAGAGATGTCCCGCGGTGTCCCGCGGTGTCCCGTGGTGTCCCGTGGTGTCCCGTTGAGTGAGATCGATCGTGATATCGATTGAGTCAGATGTTGGTTCCCCCCCCCTTTCTTCCCCCCCACAACCTCCTTATCACCCGAACGGGGGGAACCAACATCTGACTCAATCGATCGGGTCACCTCTCGATCTCACTATCGGTCTCACTCAACGGGACACCACGGGACACCACGGGCCACCACGGGCCTTCACGGGACACCGCGGGACACCTCTCGATCTCACTATCGGTCTCACTATCGATCTCACTATCGATCTCACTCAAGGGGACACCTTCGGACACCACGGGGTACCGAGGGACACCTGTCGATCTAATCATCGATCTCACTACCGATCTCACTCAACGGGACACCACGGGACACCACGGGACACGGCGGGACACCTGTCGATCTCACTATCGATCTCACTATCGATCCCATTTTTCGGGACACTCTTGGAGCCGTCTTGGAGTTCTCTTGGGGATTTCTGAGGGAGGCACCCGATCAAGGCCCCCCCTTCCCCTCGGGGGCCACGATCCTCGTGAGGGGTGTCCAAAAACATGGCCCTCCCATGGGCCGATCTTGGACGCTCCAACCGATCGCGGCCCCTCCCGTCCAGGTCCAGGGTAGGGGGTAGGGGGAGGGGTAAACCCCTCCCCGAAGGGGAAAAATGGTTTGTGGAAAAGGAAGAAAAACATCGTTAGGCCACCTGCGCCCGGAGGGCTGGTGGGATTTCGAAAATGAATGTGCGCGGCGTTCAGGCGAGAACCACATTTTGAAAAGAGCCGTCCTCCATCCGTGAAGCTCTTGCATGTTTGAGAACGAGCGTGCGCGGCGCTCAGGCGAGAGCCACATTTTGAAAACGACCCGCCCTCAATGCGTGAAGCATATTCATTTTTTTACGACGAATGTGCGCGGCGCTAACGCGAGAGCCAAATTTTGAAAACCACCCGCCTTCCATCTGTGAAACTCTTGCAGTTTTTGTAAGCTTCAGGGTCATAAGTTGTGAGGAAGTCTCAGGCGAAACGCCCGGCCCGCCCCAACAAATTTCCTCGGGGTGCGACAGGGAGAACGAAAAGGAATGGAGGAGGAGGAGGAGGAGGAGGGGGAGGAGGAGGAGGAGGAGGAGGAGGAGGAGGGGAGGAGGAAGAGGCGAAGGAGGAGGAGGAGGAGGAGGAGGAGGAGAGGAGGAGAGGAGGAGGAGGAGGTGGAGGAGGGGCAGGAGGTACAGGCGGAGGAGGAGGAGGAAGGAGGAGGAGGAGGAGGAGGAGAGGAGGAGGAGGAGAGGCGAAGGAGAGGAGGAGGAGGAGGAGGGGGAGGCCAAGGAGGAGGAGGAAGAGGCGAAGGAGGAGGAGGAGGAGGCGGAGGAGGAGGGGAGGAGGAGGAGGAGGGGAGGAGGAGGAGGAGGAGGAGGAGGAGGAGGAGGAGGAGTAGCGGCACCGCCCAAGCACTGTTGTACCGTGTGGGCGTCGGCCCCGCCAGGGCGAGGCGCGCGCTCCGTGGCGGGCGCTCCCTTGCCATGCCGCCTGGGAAACGGTGCACCGCAGCTTTGTGTACCGCGTGCTCTTGTTGGACGTGCGCTGGTACTTCGCCGCCGGGTTCCTGTCCAAGGCGTTCCTTTGCAAGCACATCGTCCTCGGCACCGCCTGATTCTGGGGCTTTGCCCCCTCCTGGCCTTGACGTGAGGCCCCGCCTCCTTCTGCCCCCTCCCCCCCTCTGTCAAGGAAAGCTGTGCGCGGCCCGCTTCGCTTCGACCGGAAGAGGTGCGCTCCCGGCCCGCGGATCAAAAGAGTTGGACGTGCGCCTCCGAAGTCGGCACGCCGTGCCAGCGTGTCCCTCTGCCTCCCGAGGGAGGGCGGGGGAGCTGAAGCTCAGGATCTCCCACTCTGCAGTCAACCCGTATAGTGAGGGCGAGTCGTATTCCAAGATGACCCCTGCATCCTTCCCCTTCGGCCCATCCTTGGCCGCTTTCGCTGGCCGCGTCCTTGTCGACCGTCTTCCTTATACGGGTTGACCCCGTCCGCCTTTTTCGACTTCTTCGGGAAGCCCGCCGCCGGGCCCAGAGAGGCGCGGGCGGAAGGCGAGACAGGGCCGAGGGCGGCGACGTACGGCCAGCTGAAGGCGCTGGGGCTCCTGAGGGCGTCTCCGGACGTGGATCGGCGATGGGCCACATGAGGATTTCTTGACTTCGACCGCGAGTCCAAGCCTCCCTTCTCCCTCTTCTCCCGGACGCGGGAGGATCAGGGGCAACGATAAAGGGGTGGTGGTGGTGGTGTGCTCAAGGGGGGGATGCATCGACCCGAACTGCCCATTCATCGCCGACAGGGGCCCGAAGGGCCCAGACACGTGCGGATTCGCCATCGGGGGCCTACCGCCGACATCTCTGAGATGGATCGCCGATTCCAGATCGGTGTTTTTCCCCCTGAGCTGTTTCCCCTCAGAGGATGAGAGGGGTTATCGGGGGATCGGACTTGCGGTTGCAGTTAGGGTCTCCTACATACTGTTCGGCCGCAGGGGAGGCGGAGGACTCTGACAGCAGTCTACCAGCAGCGTTCGTGAAGCAGTTCTTGGTCGATCCAGCCAACCACAAGTCAGAGTTTCTGAAGAGTTTCCTGGAGCACGCCGAGCTTGACCCAGTCAGGGTGCCTAGAGATATTGATGATGACGACGAGGATCTTGGAGGCTTCATGGACTCCAATTCGTTTGGATTGGTCAAAAGTGAGAAGTGGCTGAATGAAGAGAAGCGGCTTCTCGCAGAGAAAATCCGAAGCGCTTCGCCCTGTGCCGCTGGTCCCCGCCTTTGGTGGAGCTGCTTCCTGGGGATCCTGGCAACGACGATCTGTATTTTTCGGCCGGCGTTCCCTCCTCTGTTTTGGCCCTCGTGGACCGCTCCCGGGCCACCTGGACCACCAAACATGGATCTGGGACGACCAGCTGCCCCCCCTGGGAAGCGGCCCTCCTCCCCCGCCAGTGCGACCCAGGTTGGATGTTTGTTTCAGGGACCTTCCTGGGGCCTGGCCGACGGATCTACCTCAACTCCAGTTTTGGTTTAGTTCGACTTCAATTCGACTCTAGCTCGACTCAGTTTCGGCTCCAGTTCGACCCAGGTTCTACTCAAGTCGACGGACGTTCGACGCAGAATTGACGCATGAGTGGAGCCAGTGTCTCCAGGAAGTTCCCCAGAACGAGCATCTGAAGTTCAAGTCTTTTTGGAATCCTGGAGCTATCTTGGGTTTGTCTTGAGGCCACTTTGGGGCCCACTTCGGGTCTTGTTGGACCATCTTGGTACCTTTGGGGACCACCTTAGGGCTCCTTGACGCAGTCGTGGGATTACCTTCAGGCTTCTGGGGGCAATCTTTCGACATCTTGGGGCCATCTTGGGGCCATCTTTTTGCCCTGTTGGCTGGACGATGTTTGGGGCACTTTGGGGTCTTCTGAGTGCCACGTTGGGGCCATCTTGTGGCTCCAGAGGGCAATTTTGAAGCCATGTTGCGACTTGATGCTGGCAAAACAGGCGATGGGCCAAAAAGCATGGAGCAACAAGCAGCGCACTTCTTTGAAGCAATATCTTGGACGCGCCTGGAACGCAACATTGGAGGCCACCTTAGAGGACCCCTGAAGACTGTGCTGGGAGGCCACGGGAGGTCTTGGGAGGCTCTGGGAGCCAGGGAGTCTTTGGGATACTCTGGGGAGCAGTGCCCGACGCTCCCTGGGCAGTCCAGACGACTCTGAGAGCACACGATCAGGGGGCGTTGAAGCCACGCGTTCTGGGCCAAGGGGGACCCGCGCGTCCAGCAAGAGCGGCAGCACTGCTTCCTGGAGTCCAGCGTATCCGGCCCCCGGCCGCCCGCCCTTCGCCAAGGCCGCGGGGGCCCCGCCTCGCCGCGGAGCGTGCGGCATCGCTGCCCCTCGAGGTGTCAGGACCGATCTGTCAGCGATGCGCGATTCCGAGGCGATGCTTCCCTCCGCCAAGCTTCCCTGCTTGCCGGAGTGGAGCGCTTCCATGACGACCGCCTCTCGGGACGGACGGGCACCGCGGGACCCGATGCGCGCAGCTCGGCTCCCCGCACGCGGGTCCGGCGGATTTCGAGGTTCAAGGCGGCTGGTCCCAAAGAGTTGAGTATATGGGAGCGTTTCTGCGAGCGGATGCAAGATTGGGAGGACCCTGATGACGAGGAATCGCAGGCAGTGCGCAACGAAATGGGAATGAGAGAAGGGCTTGGGGTACGCAAGACAGCATTGGAGTCCTGGCTTGATGCCCAACAAGGAAATGTGCCTCGAACTGGTAACAAGTGGGGAAGCTGAAGACAAAGCTGTTCATGGGCAGAGGTGTTTTCAGATCTGACGAGACTCATCCGCCGAGATAGCGGCGCGTCGTCGCCAGCATGTCGATGATGATAACATCCTTCATTCTTTCTGTTACCATCACCGTCACATCATACATGGCTTTCGTTGCCGCTAGTCGCTGGTGGTAGCGTGGCCTCATGCTGATTTGCTGCTCAGTAGCGGTATGTGTCAGCCCTAGCTCCGCTAGATCAGATGGAGTTTCACGATTCATGCGTGGTGTGAGTTGACAGGACGTAGGAACTGATGCAGGACCGCAGGAAGGAAGGGAGGTAGGAACATATGCAGGATGCATGGAATGGCGGGTGGATGGTTGGCTGGTTGTGTGAACGGACGGATGGACACGGGAGGGACTCTCCCCAGGGTACCAGTAGCGAGGTCAGCGAACAGATCGGGCATGAGATGCTGACCACCCCGACCTGCGTGCGCCTACCCCTCTCTCCCCTGCGTATTTTGCCGGCGTTGGCAGAGCTCTCACCCCAGTGTTGCTTCATGGAGGTAACGTGTCGTGGTGCCGTCGCTTGGTTTCCCTTCGATGACTGCGCTGAACACAAGCATCGTGTATGATATCAATAACTTGGGCGTAGAGGTTTACACCATCATATGCGTATTCTACCTTTTGAGAGTTGCTCGTACGCGACCAGGTCTTTGTGACATGGTGAAGCGGGCGCGTGACACATCTTGAACTTGCTAATGTAAATGTTGTGTAGTTCGAATAGGGGCCGAGTCCGCGTGATCGTAGTGCCTACGAGGGCTGACGCTCCACGGGTGTTCATGTTCTGGATCATGCAGTCGTGCAAGCTTCACCTCAGCAATGGACCACTGGGTGCTATTTATCGTTTCGCTGCGCGGTCTCATCGTTAGTTTTCTCGTGCTTCTCGTGTTCTCTCCAGAACACGCTCCCGACCAGTTACTGGCTCTCCTCTTCGGGATCGACGTTCCAATCGAGTCTTGCATACGTCTGTCGGCCGAGCTGCGATTCGTGAGTCGAGAGCGGGAAGGGAGGAGAACGGACGTTGGAGGTGCCACGCGAGAAGGAGAGATGACGGGGCAATCCCCTGAGGGTCTGCAGTTCTGACAGGGAGAGAGGGGGTGGGTGGGAACATGCGGTCGACCAGGGGTCTGGCGCTGCTCCTACATCCCTCCTCCTGCTCCTGGCGCAGCGCGCCAGAGGGCCTCCGACAGGGCCGGCGCGCGCCCGTCTCCCAGTCCTGGGCAGCCTCCGGGCGACGACGGCCGTTCGTTCGCTCTCTCCTTCGCTTGTTCACCCGGTCGTCGTCGTAGTCGTCGTCGTCGTCGTCGTCGTCGTCGTCGTCGTCGTCGTCGTCGTCGTCGTCGTCGTCGTCGTCGTCCTCGTCGTCGTCGGTCGGTCACGCGGGCGACCTGGGGAGCGAGGTCGCAGGGAGAGCAGCCATCCCAGCGACGGGGCGGCGCCAGGGGGAGCCAAGGCCGGAGCACTCCTAAAGGAGAATTCGCCGGCCCAGCGGGCCAGAGGCGTGCTCGGGAGCCTCGAGACGGGGGTCAATGCAAACGGGGGTCAGCCAGAGCGCCCCGATCTTGCAGGATCCTGCAGGGCCAGGGTCGCATTGACCCGGGTTTGGGCGCGGGATCTTGCAGGATCCTGCAGGATCCTTCGCATTGACCCGGGTTTGGGAGCAGGATCTTGCAGGATCTTGCAGGATTCTGCAAGCCCCGACTGACCCGGGTCTGGGTTGACCTGGGTCAGAAGATCCCCGACGTGCTGGGAACCCCGGTAACTGGCTTACAGTTTTCTGGTTCGCCCGCGCGGGGCGGCCCCTGGGTGCCCTCGAACGAGAAGTACCCGGACAGGTCCCGGCAAGGTGAGGCCCAGAGGCATGTCCGGGGTGGACAGGCCTCCTGCCCTGACACGTCGATTAAGGAATTGGCCGTTTTCGGTTCGCGAGAGGGCGTCGCGGCCGTCATTTTTGCGGGTCCAGGTCCGTTGGTTTCGGTCCCAGGCCGTTTTCACTAAGGGGAGGTTTACTAAAGGGAGGTTTGTCCACCGCCGATTCATGCCGATGCCTCTTCTTGTGTAGACCCCGCTCAGCTTCACCGATCGCACGCAGCCCACGCGGCCCCCACGGCACCCCGCCTGCGCCGCGCTGATGGACCTCGGTGGACAAGCACGCGGTTGCGCTGACGCATGTTCCGAGGACAATCGAGCGGGGAGGGCGCGGGGGTGCACCTGCACCTGGGTGGTGGGGGGGGGGCAACGCAAGCCAGCCCGAAGAGAGGGCATAGCGAGCAGTGAGCAGGTTTGCTAAAGGGAGGCTTGTCCACCGCCGAAGATGGTTTTCCTTCTCGGCGCTGGCTTCCAGGCTTTCCCGAGCGCCGCAGGAGCGCTCCAGGAGAGCCCCTGTGGCGTGCTCCGGACGGTCCGAGGGCCCCTTGGTCGCCGCCAGACGGCCCTAGGCGCCCCAGGAAACGCACATCTTGCGCGTCAGCGACGTTTCGAGGTCCAGCGCGTTCAACACTGCCCAAGAGACCTTCAAGAGCGCCCCAAGACGGCCCAACGGACTCCCAACATGGGCCAAACACGGCCCAAGGGGGCCCCAAGACGGCCCACGAGGCCCCCTGGACAGCCCTAGACAGCCCTACGAGGGGCCCCATCGGGGGAGCTCGAATTGATCTTTCCAGCTTGCCGACCCGCACGATCGCCCCAAGACGCCCAAGATGGCCTCCGGACGGCCGAAGACGCCGCCAAGAAGCCCCAAGAGAGCCTCAAGAGGTTCTTCTAGAGAGCCTCAACAAGCAAAAAGTGTCCCATTCCCTTGAGAAACGTACGTTTTGCGCCTATACGACCTTTCGAGGTTCAGCGCGTCCAACACTACCCACGAGACCGTCAAGATCGCCCCAAGACGGCCCAACACACTCCCAACATGGGCCCCACACGGCCCAAGAGGGCCCCAAGACGGCCCTCGAGGCCTTTTGGACAGCCCGAGGCAGCCCTAAGAGGAGCCCCATCGGAGGAACACGAATGCCACCAGCCCTTTTGGGGCGAAGGTGGTTTAGGGTGTTTCCTCCTCCACCCTCTTCTTCCCCTTCGGGGAGGGGTCTATCACAGTTTCCTACTAATATACACCCCCTCCCCCAGGCGACTGGGAGCCAACCAGGGACAATGCGGGCACCCCCCCACCATCCCTTGTAAAAAATAATACGCAACACACTCTGCCTCCAAATTCGGAGCATGCGCAGCGAACCCGATGCGGCCTCCCCCCACCATCCCTGTCAAAAACAATTCAGATTACACTTGGCGGCGGCGGCGGCTGCGGCGGCTGCGGCGGCGGAGGTGGCGTTGGCGGCGGCGGGGGCGGCGGCGGCGGCGGCGGCGGCGGCGGTGGCGGCGGCGGCGGCGGCGGCGGCAGCGGTGGCGGCAGCGGTTTGCGGCGGCAACGGCTGCGGTCGGCGGCGATTTGGCAGGCGGGGGGCGACGGGCGGCGGCGGCGTCGGCCGCGGCGGGGAGGGGGGGGGACGGCGGCGGCGGGGCGGCGCGGCGGGCGCGGCGGCGGCGGCGGCGGATTCGCCCCAGTAGCTGCCCATCCGAAGACGACTGCTGAATATGCTGCGCTTGGTCCAGGCTCGGGTGCTACGTATGTGTAGTGAGGGCGGGTGGAGTGAGCGGACGGCTTGCGGGCGGGGAGGGAGCCCTGATCATTGTTCCCTATTAATAAACACCCCCTCCCCTAGGCGACGGGGAGCCAACCCGAGTCCATGCCGACACCCACCACCTCCCTTGTAAAACAAACATGTTCGACCCACGAACCCGGAAGGAATATTAGAATGTAGACCTTGCAACGTTTCAAGACACCTGATTGGGCGACGGGCAAATGCAATGCTTAGTGTATCAACCTTGATGTACCGTGCCGAGGGCTGTGCTGTGCTGTGCCGTGCTGAATTGCGATGTGCCATGCACGAGTGTGCTCTATAGCGTTGTGGATCGAGTCCTCCTTTGCATCCGAGTCCTGACCGAACTGATCTGGATCTTAATCTCGAGCTGCCTAAGCACATAACTAGTAGCTGCCCCAGAGTTGATTGACAAGGGAACATGCCAGGAGGACGCGCCGCAGAACGTCCCAAGGGACGCGCCAGGCGACGTGCCAGGGGACGTGCCATGGGGTCGCACCGCGGGACGTGCCAAGGGGACGCGCTACGGAATGTGCCAATGGACGTGCCACGGGACGTGCCACGAGACGCACCAAGCGAGGTGTCAGGGGACGTGCCACGGGGACGCACCGCGGGACGTGCCAAGGGGACGCGCTACGGAACGTGCCAATGGACGTGCCACGGGACGTGCCAGGGGACGCGCCGCGCGACGTGCCAGGGGGACTCGCCACAGGACGCGCCACGGAACGTGCCAAATAACGTGCCAAGTTGCAATGCTGAGTGAGTGTACCGATCTTGATGTAATGTGCCGAGGGCTGTGCTGTGCTGCGCCGTGCTGAACTGCGATGTGCAACGTGACGATTGTGCTCTACAGCGTTGTGGATCGAGTCCTCCGTTGCATCCGAGTCCTAACCGGACTGATCTGGATCTTAAGCTCGAGCTGCCTGAGCACATAGTAGCTGCCCCAGAGCTAATTCACGGGGGGCATGCTAAGAAGACGCGCCGCCGAAAGTTCCAAGGGACGCGCCAGGCGACGTGCCAGGGGACGTGCCATGGGGACGCACCGCGGGACGTGCCAAGGGGACGCGCTACGCAACGTGCCAATGCATTATGGACGTGCCACGGGACGTGCCAGGGGACGCGCCGCGCGACGTGCCAGGGGGACTCGCCACAGGACGCGCCACGGAACGTGCCAAAGAACGTGCCAAGTTGTAATGCTGAGTGAGTGTACCGATTTTGATGTAATGTGCCGAGGGCTGTGCTGTGCTGCGCCGTGCTGAACTGCGATGTGCAACGTGACGATTGTGCTCTACAGCGTTGTGGATCGAGTCCTCCGTTGCATCCGAGTCCTGACCGAACTGATCTGGATCTTAAGCTCGAGCTGCCTGAGCACATAGTCCACGCAGTAGCTGCCGCAGAGCTAATTGACAAGGAAACATGCCAGGAAGA